ACATTACCTGAATAATTAACATTGTAAGAAAAAGAGACTTTCTGTTAAAGAACTAATAATGGGGAGCAAACTCTCTGCCTTTGTTTCTACAAATTGATTTTCAGAAGTGTGTTTCTGTATTTGCAGAATTACTTTGGACACTTTATGTCTCTTTATGTAATAGACCATCACATTTTTAACATGGCAGTGCATTTGGATTAAACACCTATTTGTTTTTTTGTTGTAGTTTTTTTTATTATATTCTTTTTATTTAGTTCTGGTGAGTATGGCGTGGGATTCAAACTCTACTTAACCTGGACGCCTAAAGTAAAAGGTTGTCCTTCAGAAATCATCTACTACTACTAATAATAATAATACTAATAATAACAGAGAGCAGATGTGTGTCCAGTCGTGACGCAGCATATCCACACCAAACTGTTCCAAACATGAAAACCTCTGATCATCGTAGCATTTCGCAGCGTCTTCAGTTCTGAAAGTCCCAGGTTTTGTTTTAACATGTATTCAGACGCATAACCCCGCTTTTTGTTTAATAGTTGGCGTGAAACCGTAACTAGAACACAACACTTACAGCAACAACAAATATGTTCACACTGATTTCATTTAGGCAAGCAAATGAGCGACGCAAACACTTCCTGCCAGAATTATTTTAAACCACAGGTCACAGATGTCTGTAAATAAAGAAGTATCAGAGATATGGGTGTTTTAGCAGTGTGTCGTCATAGTAACTTAGACATCAGTGACGGGGACGGTAGCCTGAACTGTTTCCTGGTTTTTAGTAAACAGTAAAAGTCATTTTTAGCAGCAGACAGATGCTGAGATTAGCAAAGGACATCACACGCTAACATTGCATCCACAAACATAACCCTTAATCTTATTCTCTTATTGTAGATACTAATTATTTAATGCGATCTGAACTGCTAGTATGTGAAAAAATAAAAAAATGTGAAATCCTGCGAGGATGAGCGTCATAACTAATCAGTGTGTGTGATCTAATCTGGTAATTGATTGTTATAGAACATTAGCAAAAACTCATCTCACTGAATCTGTAATGTGATCAGGAACCATGAAGAGAACATGGCTCAGATTCAGTTGCATAATTTAATCCAGATTATTAAAGAGCAGTTGCTGATTTAATCGCCAGAGCATTGACGAACGATGGAAGTATTCAATGTACAGCACATCAGCTGCAATAAATATAGTTCTTCCTATTTATCACTGAGTAAAGAATCGAGTCTGAAGAGAAGAGGGAGACGCTGTTTGCATGTCAGTCATAAGAACTGGCTCTAAATTCAAACAACACAGATAAAAAATGTAAAAACAAAATCATATTCAGCTCCCCACTAGAGCTAACATGAGCTACTTTATTTACAACTCTTTCAAGAGATATATAAAAAAATCTATGACTTATTAAATGCTGGTAGATGAGATCTTTACTCAGTCTGCATGGTAGCTGTATCATCACTTTGCACGCAAGACTGATCGCTAATGATGACTAGCATTGGTTTTAGCTATTGTCAACATATCACGCTACATCATAAATGTACTCCTGATATGTAACAGAAAACAGGATGCAGTGCTTTGCTACTAGATAACAATGTCCAAGGGTATATAGCATTTCACATTTCACAGGTCAGTGAAAAGTTTTCATTTTAAAAAATAGAGAAAGAGAGGGAAGTAGGTCAGAGATGCTAGCTTGACTTTGAGAAACTTAATATGTAGATGTGTTGTGGAATTCAGTGTGTTTCGGTTCAGTTTTTTTCTTTTTTTTTTTAAAAAGCCGACCCTCACATGTTTTCTCTGGTTAACGTAACCAATCAAGCACCGCTGTCTTCTGATCACAATCAGTATACTTACATATACTCCAGTGTTACTGAATTTGTGTAGGTCTCACAAAATCCACTGTTATCTACCACACCTTGCTCCAGCTCATTCTTTTCTCAGTTGGGGGGTTAGCTTAACTCCTTTGGAGGCATCATCTGAAATTCTAATGAAAAGTCTATAAACACCATCCAGCCTGGAGGCAGGTGCAGATTTTGTTGGAGATTAAACGTCTAAATCAGCAAGTTGTTTGAGCGGCGAGCCAAGAGAAGAGAGCATAGCTTGAAGGCAGTGAGTCAAAGAGGGACGAGCAGCAGAGAGAGTAGAGATGAAACACATTTTTAGATCGGATCCAGGTAGAAAACGGGCCAGAGAGAGAAAAGTGTTAGAGTTTAAAAGTGAAGGGAAAAAAGGGGCTTTTTATGCAGCGTTTAAGTCTTTGTGGTGCGATCCAAATGTGGAGTAAGCAGACGAATGCATCCTGATCAAAAACCTGTGAGTGAGCTCGGTGTGTAGGAATGGATTCACAATCACTCTGAGATCTGAATCAATTTAAATGAATGAATACAATTTCCTGATGCTTCTGTAACAGGAGCAAACCTAAACATTATTCATGCAGCTCCCATCGATTCTGAACCCGGACCTACTCATCCTGATGATTGGGATCGTTAACATTCACCTCATGCATCTATTACGACAGAGTGTTAGGGCCAGGGTAGAAAAAATGTCTTAAATCACAAGACCAAAGTCGTGACATAGCAAGAAGAAATCATACCGCAATTAAACCACAATATTAAAAGAATAGTTGTAAATAAGGTTGCAGATAATACACTCGAAATGTTACGAGTAAAAAGTTGTAATGATTTGAGATGAAATTTATACCACAAAAAGTCACAATATTACAAGAACAAAGTCATCATCATAATAATACCAAAAAAAGTTGGAATGATACAAGACAATGCGGAATGATGATATTACCTGAAAAGTCGCATGAGAAATATGAAATAGTACAAGAATAAAGTCATAGTATGACCGAAACAAAGTTGTAACATCAGTAGAATGAAGTAGTAATTTTATAATTCCTAAATAAAAAAAATAACAAATTAAGATGGGGACTAGTGAAACATCTTGTGGAGTTATTATTTTCCTATTTTACAAATAGGAAAATAATATTTCCACACACCAGCAGTAGTTTGAAATGATTGAGTGAGTCTTTCTTGCAATTTTAGGACTTTCTTCTGATATTTTTCTAACTTTATTCAGCTAGTGCTATGGCTTCCTTGCCATAATATTATGACTTCATTCTCTTGATTTAAAAAAAAAAGAAAAATCTCTCAGTCTGGCCTTAATTCTCAGCTGTAATTAAGCCTCCGTCTCAGGTGATAACCAGCGGGGTAATGCGGAGCAGCCTCTGTGACTCTGACCCTCCAGAGTATCATCACACCTGCAGACAGCTCATGAGCGAAGTGGCTGGGTGTGAACAAGCGACCCCTGGCTGTAGTTGTCAGGTCAGTGATGCTCTGTGTGTGTAACCTCAGGGCTGTAGTAGTAAAACAGAGGAGTGTCTGTGGACATCGACTTTGAAGGCTGGCCGCAAATTCTCAATCGGATTTAGGTCATAAGACGTTATTCAATTAATTCATTTTAACGCGTTAAAAGTTTATACATATATATATATATATATATATATATATATATATATATATATATATATATATATATATATATATATATATATATATATACATATATATATATATATATATATATATATATATATATGAGTGTGTGTGTGTGTACACACATTGTAAGCACTGAAACATTTGGATTTGCATGTTTCTTGTACATCTATAAATCTGACTCCTGCTGTGGCGATGGGCAACCAACCTGCTTCACCGAGAGTTAATTTCTGCTGCAAGGAATGATCTGATTGGACGCTGGAAATGATTATGTTGTATTGTTACGTTAAGAGGAGTCAGCCTAAAATAGCATCTCTATTCCTCGCGTAGTGCTGCAGCAGCGCAGACGTCCCCAAAGCTAAACGTCAGCATCCACATTTCTAAAAAAGCTCCATGAACGATCAGAGATTCCTGAAAGACCTGAAACATGAATTGGTAAAACAGCATTTTGCAACATATAAATAATAGATTAAAGACAATACATATCTTCCTTATTGAGCTTCTGTTTTTATTTAATCAGTAATTTAGTGGCAAAAATGTGGTTTGGACTGAAATTCTGTTGATATGTGGAGTTAATTCATTTCAATCCCTGCGATTAACTTTGTGAGAAATGTTTTCATGGAGTCCCACCGCTAGCATGAGCACACTAAGTGTTTCTGCAGTCACATTTGCTGTGTTGCTCCTGCAACACATCAAGAGCCAGAGAGTCTAAATGAGGCCATATTGCATGGATGTCATGAAGCAAAAAGGCCTCTGGTCATGTTCAGCTGGATGAGATGTACACTCTAAAAAAAAAAACACACACGGACACTGAAGCCGAACACGATGGACTTCTTCAATCAAACAACCTACTGCATATTTCTCTGTTTTATGAGTTGCTGTGCTTAGAAAATGTAAATGATTAAAGCTGGACTTCTTGGGTCAAACCTAACCGAAAATCACAAATCAGCATTAGCCTGGGAATGCTTTGTTAATATGTTTCCTAAAGACAAATCAAATGCAGACTTAATGTGTTCAAGAGGATTCTACATTTTTAACATTACTGTTAAAGGAGTTGCACGATGGGGCAACAGTTAGCCATGTTGCCTTGCAGGAATAAGATCTTGGATTTGAATCCTGCCATGGAAAATGGATGGATTTCTTTAGGGAAAATGGAAAAAGGAATAAAATGAAGAAACTTAAACATTTTTCCATTCTCAATTTTCTTTCTTCCAAACAATTTAGAGTGATTTAGTAATTGGGAATGAGGGAAAATAGGCAATCCCAAAGGTTAAACATTTTCACTTAGGATATTATTTAATAAACTAATATACCAAAACAATAGTGTTGATGTTGAGGGTGGTGATGCCCTACATACGACGTGTCGACATATCGACAAGTAGAAATTCAAATTCTTTGAATCACTAAGTTTAACAGTTACTTGGTGTCTTTGCACAACTTTAAATCAAATAGCGGCTCTTTGTGTCGCTTCAGTTGCTTTAATAAGTTTGTGTGAGTCCGCAGGACGCTGACAGACCTGCTGAAGCAGCAGGGCAGCGAGGCGAGCTTGGTAGAGAACGCCGCGGCTGGATCGTCCAGCGGAGGGAGAGCCAACGGCGTCTCGGCCAGGATGCCACGCAGCAGGAGTGGTGAGTGCAGATCCGCCGTCTGGAGGCATCAGTTCACAAATCCAACCTTCAGTTTAAAGTTATCATATGTTTTCCAGGCATGCAACATCATTTTATAGCACAATCAGCACAAAATGCTGTATGCATCAAACATGATGTCGCAATTCAACACCTTGAAATTGGGTCTTCTTCTCTTTAAAAAATCCTGCTCTTTCTGAAACTCCACCTACAGGAAGTAAGTCATCACAACATGGCTCCTCTATTAAACCTTTAATAGAGGAGTGCTCAGTGTAGGAGCTCTGAGAAGTAGCTCAGCTGAGGAGCAGTTCCACCAGGTGTTTGCTAATCGCTGCCGGCTAGTCTGAAGGAACCTGGATGAACAAATCAAGGAAACACTCCATGTATTTCTGTAGTAACATTATAATATGATGGAAAGCTTAAAAAACTGGTATTACTGCCTCTTTAACTACATTTATGCATAAGACACCTATGAATTTCTTAAATAAATGTAGCTGAAGCATTTCTGTTTTAATTTTATTTTATTAAGTCTCCACATTTTTACTGTGTTCAATGTTGAAGCAAATTTGTAACTGTAATCTTTTACTACAAGGCTCATTTTTTGGCTAGAAGAGAAAAACAAGGTAAAATAGTCAAATCTGTGCAAATGCAACTAGCCATAACCAGACTAATAATTTAAAGGATTAAATCAACGTTACATGTGATAATCTGAGTTTGTCTTATAGAGAGGATAACGGTAATGCTAAGGGTTTCCATAGCAACCATTTATTTTAGGGTGTTTTTCTGTGCATTTTCAAACAGTGTTGTTTATTATTGTGAAGGTTCAGCTCAATTCAATTCAAATATACTTTACTGATCCCAAAGGGAACTTGCTGGTGATGGAGGTAATGCAACCTGTGCCTACAGGTGAGAAAGAAAACAAAAAGTTTAGGAAAAGTCTTTTTTTTTTTTATTTGCTGTAATTGCACAGTCATTTTTAACAAATAAATATATATTGGAAAGCAGGGAGCGCAACTTTAGAGGAGCTCATTAAGCTGCTTTTCCTGGAAATAACTAAACAAATCCCCGCTGTCGAGTTTTTTTCTTTTTTTTTTTACAGTCTGCCTGCTCAATGAGCTCCTCCACTGCTCACTGTGTGACACCGTGTGAGGAATTAAACATGTCAGCCCTGGATATCTGGGGCTTCATGAAAAATCGCCCACGTTGCACACATTGTGGCTAAAGGATTTTGATGGATCTACTGCTGTTTGTTCTGCACATCTGATCTCTTGTCAAATCTGTCAGAACTGAGGTGGAAGTTCAGACAGTCAAGATCAAATCCATTTAGTTTATCATCTTGTTTCTCTTAAAAAAGACAAACGAAAAGGTAAACAATCTTCAGAATCAGGCTGTGCAACTAAAATAATCACTTTAATGAAAAATAAACAAACATATTGTTTTAATGTATACATCTACAGAGATTACATGCACTTCTGTCATTCCTGATTTAATATTAATATTTGTAAAATGGCTTAGCAGTTCAGACCCTGAGCATGTTTGACTGTTAGTGTTGAACTCCATAATCATCATGTTAATGTAATCAAGCTGAGCTCCATTAGGCAGCTGGTCTTTCCTTACATTCGACTCAGACGCAGGTTGGCTTTGTGCTCAATCAACACATCATTCATGCATATGTGACGCATTTTAATTACCCACTTTAGTGTACTTTATCAGGACTTGATGTGATGAATCAACACAAAGCAGTAAGTTAACTTTTTTATATGAATAAAAAACTGAAAAGTGTGGAGGACCCTTGTTTATAGTCTTCTTGACTTAGTTCTTTATTTGAAACCATTCGTCCTGAAATTACAGCTGTGTTCTTCTTTTTTTTTTTTTTTTTACCAGCTTTCTATATCTAAAACATAATATTTTTGCCCATTTTGAGTTGAATAGTAATAGAAGTTTTCCTGAAATGTAAAACATATTTTTCTGGTAATTATGTTGAAAAACCCAGTCGACAAAATTAGGGAGGGTTTTGCACCTTTAAAGAGGCTGAAATAGATTAAATTGACTTTTTTGAGCTTTACATCATGTTATAATGTTATTCCCAGATGGAAAACACACCTGGAGCGTTGGCTTCATTCTTTTATGCATGTTTGAGGAATTATTTCATCTACATGGCAACCATTCAGCAGTGCAAAACGCCTGGCACCGCCTAATGAGAGGTGCAATTTCCAAACTTCTGAGATTCCCTCTTATAGAGCAGTCCAACCCTGAGACTCCTTCAGACTAGCCAGTAGCAATTAGCAGACACATGGTAGAACTGTGCATCTGCTCATTATAGGAGCTGCTTCCCAGTGAAACGCTGGTAAAAATGTTGTTAAGGGTTAATAGAGGAGCCATGTTGTGATGACTTCCTGATGGTGGAGCTTTTAAAGAGACAGGCTCAATTGAAAGTCCTTAAATCACAAAGCAAAATTTCTTTTAAATCATATTTGATATATATATAGCATTTTTGTAACATGTTACAAAAATGCTTAACTGAAGTTAACATAGTTGAGTGTGCCATGGTACATTGCACTATGTTCCATGGAAAACATGGTTCACTTCATCATATGAGGTTTTCTTGATGAATAAAAAAGTTAGTAATGGGAATATTGCCTCAACAGTAACTATAAGACGTCACCTCATTTAAAAATTTTGTTTGTTTTTTTTTTGCTTTGTTTTTTTTCTTTCAGCCATATTCAGAGCACCACAGTGTTTACAATGAATCACCCATTCTGTCCTAGATCTTCACTATTTCCTCTCTCCAGTCCAAAGTTTGCATCAGGTGCACAAATGTTTCTGTAGCATTTTAGGATAATGAGGTTGTGGTTAAAAAAAAAAAAAAACCTTCCTAACTGAGCCACAGGACAGAGCTGAGTCCAGCGGAACAGCATTGGATTTTCCATTACAGATGAGACAACAGACAAAGTGTTGGAAAAAAAAGTTCTGCTCATTAGACATAGTGACTGAACCCATTTGGACTGATGGGTGTTTCTGTTAGAGCGACTGAGGCTCATCTCTGTGGCCCATCGCTGATTTTATAAGTATAGAGACAGAAACTAATCATGTTGTCATGGGAAATAAAAGCAGCAGGAAAAGATTCATTTGTGACGCCTGTCAGTGTGTCATTAAAGTCTCTCGTTTTCAGGGATGCATCGACACGGAGGCCATTTTGTTTGCCTGCGCTAACAGCTAGTGCAGTTAGCGGGGGATAATCAATAGCTTAATTTCCTACATGGCTCCACACGAAGGCAAACATCCAGGCGCTGCTGTTGGACGTTCTGATGGCATATTTAAGACATTAGACCAGGAGTTCCTGAAGTGGGGGGTCAGGAGCCCCCAGGGGGTCGAGAGACCAAGTTGGGGGTTAAAGATGATTTCAGATTCATCATGATGTGACCTCTGAGGTGTATGGAGAGCAAAAAATAGGACAAAACTACATGGATAACCACATCATAAGATAATTACATCTTAATTACATTAAGAGGTAATTATATTTAAGTATGGCTTAATGGGATATTTACAAGTATGAATCCCATTCAAAAGGTTTATTTAAAAATATCTATTAAATTAAAAAGAAAATAAGTCCATTCATCAACACACGTGATAATGTCTCTCTATTATTTATTTCGGAAATAAACAAATTTAGAATGATGGAGGTAAACATAAAAAACAAATAAATATTAGTTTATTTAAGACTTTTCACCAGTTATAAATACAGTTATATTTATTTACTTATTTAAGGTTTAGCTAACCAGGCATGTCGATTGAGAATAAATCTCGTTTTTGACAATTTACTTAAACGCTCACTTTAAAACAGACTGATGTTTTCAAGCATTTATTTCTCGTAATAATTGCTTTTTTTCTTAAACTAGAATAGCAGATGATTGTAATATGACATCATGAAATGAAATGATTTCAGACTTGTGTAGGGCTTTAATAGGACACCCAAAGATGCTGCCCTTTGAATTTCCGTTTTTAAAGCCATTCTCTTTAATGCATTAAATCTGCCACATTAGTTACGTTTGGTTTTGAAACACAACTTTGACATGCCAGAGGAGTCACAGATCTCTGAAGCTGCATCTGTGAAGACTCACATTAGCAGTCTGTGCCTGTTCTAATCTCTGTACAGGAGGCAAATATTTGGACTGAAAACCTCCAGCCAGCATGACTCAGTGCTGAAAAGAGGCTGGAAGCGAAATGAAATGACCTAAATATGAAACGACAACTGCAGAAGTAGAGTGACCCAGTAATAAGTGCCACTTGATGACATGAATTTCACCTTTTCCTGCTTTTAAAGTGAGTTGTTTTTTGGGGTGGGGGGGTTGGCATTACTCTCTCTCCTTTATTACTTTCCCTACGGCAGGCACACACAAAACATATAAAGAAATACTTTCTCTTGGTCTTGAACATTCACTAAAGACCAGTTCAAAGCACGGCCACATAATGTCGACCTATATTTTATGTGTTTGTGTATCTGAGTCGGAAACGCACATGTATTCCAGGGCAACTAAGATTTATTTCAAATTCAACGTATAACAGTCAACTTTGTTTTAGTTAGTTTGTGTTGAGCAATCAGTATCCTACCTGAAGTAGACTGAGAGTAGTACATAACGCTGAAACGATTGTTTGTTAATCAATCGTTGTTCAGGTTGTCACGCTCATCTGCGTCCACTGTGGCTGCGAAAACATCCCACTGATAATTGACCACTTCATGCTGCATGTTCATCAGCTCAACATTTCATTGAATTAGCCAGATGCAGTCAGCAGCCTACACATTTTGTGGCTCTACCAAGGCGCAGACCCACCAATGAATGAAAACGCCTGAACTTCTTCAGCATCTTATTCCATCTCCTGTTCAGCACATTAACTCTTTTTCGGAAAAGCCAAAAACCACTTGGAAATCCAGAAAGTTATTCCACGTTTCCACCTTTTCTAATGCGATGACTCAGAATGCACATTAGACTCAGGATTTGGCGCTTCAGGCGAGGGCTTCATCTGCAGAGGTGAATTTTTAAGCAAAAAAAGCAAAACAAACAGAAATATTAAAATTGGCTTGGTGTAGTTTATGCCACCTTTATGAATCATTCATATCCCTTTAATATTTCCCCATTTTACTCACGATTCCCAGAGTCCCCCTGTGCTGCTTGTGACAAACTGCTATCCAGGGATGTCCAAGGTGCGGCCAGAGGGCCATTTGCGGCACCTGGACTGATTTTGTATGGCCCATGACTGCAGTTAAAACATACTACAAATTAGCCAACTAACACAGGGCAGCATTACAATGGAAAATATTTGGTACAACACAAATGTTTGCTGCGTAATAACCACACTTCCTTGCGTTCTCTTTAATTTCACAGAACAGTGCACCCCATTCATTTGCAGCAAATAGCAGAAAATCACCAATACTTAGAAAAAACAACGAATAAAACAGAACAACCACTTTCCCTTTCTTTCAGTTACCCTCTGTCTCTTTCTCTGTGCTCATAATTTCCACCGTTTCTCTCTAATGTCAGCCTGTAAAGTACTTAGCATTCATAAGTTGCTGCTCTTGCGCATATTTCTCCATCCTTCCCAGCAGTGACAGGATCAGATGAAACTACGTCTTCAAAGCCATGCTGTTTTATCTTTTATATATATATATATATGTGCACACATTTAAACATCTGACCTTAATTTAAAAAGCATATCAATGAAGTTGATTTTGTTTTGTAAACTGAACATGCAAGCTAGTGAACTGATTAAACAGAGACATAAAGATTCAGCAGATGTTGTGAGTCTCAAATGACCTGGATGCTTAAGTGTCCCTGTGAGCATCCATGAGTGCTGTGCATGTATTTATCCATCCCTGCGGCGGACACCACGCGCGCCGGGTGCATCAGATGGCTTCATTAATGCTAAAAGCCAGAGCTTTACTCCCTCTCCCGCCTGTTCCATTGTTCATTAACCTCGGTTCCTTCGGCACGAGGCCGGTTGGCCGTCTAGGATGTACCACTGCCTCAAAGTCACCAGCCTCATAGTAAAGAACTAACCTGAGCTCCTTACTATACAGTATGTTGGTATCACATTAAATTACTGTAAACTCTGTCAAAAGACCATGTCAGTGTTTCTAGCCTATACATGCTAATGGACAGGAGAGCAGATCAGAGCATGACCAATCTAGACATGCTAGTCACTAGTCCTTCTCATTTCCCATTTGCTGGCCGTTCACTTACTGATTATATAATTAATCAGCTCAGCAGCTAGCTTTGGATTGGATATAACCTACTGCCATGAGGAAGTAGTAGTGGTGTGCAACAGTCATAATTTTGGCCCTTGAACTGCAGCATACTGTAACAATCTCTTTCCACAAATCTCTTGCAGATGTACAAATCTCAAACTCAGAAAGTTTGAGATTTGTAGAAAATTTTTTTGAAAATTTTGGAAAAATTTGCAAGAAAAAAACTCAGAAATTTCCATGGAGCTCATGCCGCATGCCCCCCTGCCCGGTTGCCAATGTGGCCCACATCAGAACCGCCACTGACTATATATTACTGTATGTTTTACTTGTGTGTGTGTGTGTCTCTTAACAGAGCAGTACCAGCTGAATAACGCAGCCTATGGCGCATTTGGACAGGGCCTTCCGCAGCCGCATAATAACCACAGCACACTGGGACTCAACAAGTACGCCTCCCTCAAAGCCGTGGGTACGTGGCAACACCCCAACACTCTCCAAATGACGCTGACTGCAACCGACACAGTGACCTTTACTGTATTCTCAAGATAGCAGTACAGGACCTGCATAAAGACGAGGCTGCCTTTCCCTCTGGACAAACCAGGCGTCGATCTTAAAGACTTAACTCCACATGTTCCTCATGGCATCATTTTTCTACTAATTATCAACGACAGGGATCTAAAATCTTGCTGTTTTTCAAGTAGAAACTCCCCTTTTGCCGAGCATAGTAATCATTCTGTAGAAGGGAATTTTCTGATTTAGCCAGTCTTAGGAAAAGATTGGCTGCTGCAGTTGTAGAGAAAATGTGGTTTTGCAAAGGAGCGCTGAATGTAAATGTTTTTAAAAATGTTTCCTAAAGCGTCGAAAGTCTATTGAAGCCAGAGGTTTACACACGCTGATTAAAAATGACGCTTTTTGTTTTTTCTCACTGCCTGAAGTTAAATCAGATCGAACTTCTGTTAAACTGTTAGTTACCAAAATAATGTCAGTTTGCTAAATGCCAGGAAACAGTGAGACGCACATAATTCACATATAGAAAAGGCAGCTGGCGATCGAGACCATATCTAAAGTCATTTGAAGGAAAATGCAGCTTGAGAAGCTGAAATACCTGGTCAAAATGCTACGAGACACGCGATTGGCTGGCATTCGCAAAGCAGCCAATCCAGGAGGCCCATAACTCCACTGTTAAAACTGTAGAGGCTCTTCACAGATTTACCACAAGGTCAGGTAATGCAAACTCAAAGAAATTACGTAAAAGGGGAATTCAGATGTTTTACACCGAAATAATATATATATATATATTTTTTTTATGTAGCCAAATATTTTAGTGTATATTTAAAAATATCAGCAATATCAGCCTAACACCACAATGATAAAACAGCTGCATTTAGAGGCCAACTGTTTCCAAATTAAAGCACTTCTACAACATTTTAGCTTTTTTATTTTCTTTTTTGAAGGAATTAACCTTTAGATTAAATTTATGACACGATTAACTTACAAACTTATGACGTGATTAAAATTTTCGTTCCATTCAAGCAATGATCTAATAAAGTAGAAAAAGATGGTACAAAGTTGCTTTAAATGAAATAAAGCAGGTATTGTAATTAGACTTAGTCTTGGTCCAGGGATGACTGTAGAGTCTGGTCCATTGAAATCATCTGACAAATATTCACAGGCGATTTTTAGACTTCTGATGGGGGGATTTATGAAACTGTCCGACACGCATGTCTTTACGCTCATCGTCTCCATTGCACTTTTCAGGAAGTCTGTCCTTCTCAGGCTGCCATATGCCGCCAAGGTCTCAGCAGAAGATGAGTGAAACTGCTGGCTCACCTTCAGGGCATGCAGCGATTTAAAACAGTGGAAAACCCTCTGACCTTCTTCAAACCATTCCCCTCATCTTGACCTTCTTTTCTTTTCTATTGTTTTTTCTTTTTTAATTCCAATCCAGACTTCTTTATTTTTGAAAAAACTAAATCAAACTCTGCTAGAGGAACTAAGCTTTCAGCTCCCCCTAAACAAACGATTTGAGGAGCAGATATAGGCAAACCCGAAAACTTGACAGAAGCCTCATTTTTGCATCGGCAAGTTCCTATTAAGAAACATGCTGAGGGCAAGGAACCTAAACACATCGCGGATTAAGAGTGATTCAGAGATGGGTGTTCTTCCCGAGACAGACTGTGTTTTCACGTGGACGGTACGTTTAGGGCTGCTTCTATCTGACTCAGTGCTGAAACACACTGTGACAAATTCAACATGACTCCAAAGAGTAAACAAGTTTAAAGAGGCCAAATGGAAGAAAAAAACGTTTTTCTACTGTTGGCCTAATTATCAAATGAAAATTCATTTGTTGCAGTTATTTAAGAATATGGCAAGAATGTTCTTTCTGTGGGAAAAGCAAAGGCTGAGAATAATAAGAAATATAAATATATATCATATATAGCAGAGGTATGAGGCAGCATTTATGCTAAACAAATAATTATGATTGTAATAATTCTTGAATAGAAAACAAATGTGAGGAAAAGTGACATTGTGAATGTTTGTTTCTTTATATATTTGGTAGTTGGTCTGTAGATATGGAGTCCCTGCCCAGAAGCTAATGCTGTTTGCAGCATTCAGGAAGATAAAACCACTACAGTTTGCATCGCATAAGCTCTGATAATGACAAAATTGAACACTTTAATAATGTTTTAACTAGAAACTTTTTCAATGAGGAGTTGATCTGAATTTGAGATACGTCTTGCGTTTCCCTCTGCAGCAGAAACCGCTTCCCGCAGCTACTACAAGAGCTTTCCTGTCATGGACTTCTCCAGTTACCAGCCCGTAGCGCCTCCTGCCTTCCAGCCCTCGCAGCCTAAGGAGAAGTCCTACATCCACCAGCCTCTGCCTGGGCACCGCGACCTCCACACCCCTCTGTCCATTTCCATCCCGTCCAACCACCTGGAGCACTCGCGCCTCCCCAAGACCAACACGCACCCGTTCATCTCCAACTCGGCCTTCAAAGCCTGGGAGCCGGCCGGCCGCCACGTCCACAGGCAGACCTCCGCTCCGGCGCACACCTCCTCCTCTCTGCACAGCTCCACCCGGAGACACGGCTACTCAACACGACGGCAGCAGAGCATAGAGAACCTGCAAGAAGTGGTTAACCACTCCTATGGAGGCGTGTATGGAGGAGGAGGCGGAGGGCAGGGTCACCACGGCCACGGCCAACACGCTTCTCAACCCTCTTACTACAACCACAGCAGGCAGAAGAGCTACTCCACCCACAGCGCCACCGAGGTGACTGTCTGAGTGACTACCACAAAGAAAAACTTTGGAGCAAGCTGCACTTCCTTACAGTCCAACATGACCGGGGTTAAGCAAGGACACGCCTTCCAATGTACACAAAAAAAGCAAGAGCTCAGATATTCAATATGTGGGAAAAAAAACAGGGGACAGAATCATTGCTACTCATGAGGGACTCAAGATAGAAAATGGGGCTCAGGCTCCTTCCTGCTGCATTGGGGGTTGAAGATGTTTAACCGCCAAAGTTTTGCGACATCACTGGATTACGGATGATCAAGCTCTGGATAAAACAAATGTTTCTCTGTCTATATTTTAGAACTCGGAGCTTTGCTTTGTCCACAAACATGGTTTTATTTTAAATGTTTTGGTTTTAATATGGATGTTGGAGGAGCAAATTCCAAACCTGTGTTAGCCTGGTAAAGGTTCTGGTAGCTAACCTGGATATGAAACCAAAACCCAACTAGTCACACTGTAATTAGTTCCTTTAATCCAAAACAAAAAAAGAGCCACATTTTAGGGAACTTATGCTGTCTTGCCTGGAGTAAAGATGGTGTATCAGTGACACTGCTATGCAATATGGGACAGTTGGGAGTAGATGGAGTTAGTTAACACCACTTAGCTAGGCAGTTAGCTGCCTGGCTAACCAGCTGATCATATTAAGTCTGTGGTTAAACAATGACTGATCATTTTATCAGAGTCTGGTACTACCCAGAACCACCGAAACACCAGGATATATATTCATAACAGAAGAGGAAAAGGCTAATTTTAGCGTCTTTCATTGTTTTTTAATGAAATATGCTAATTACGTCAACATAAACCATGAAACAGAAAGATGCATCTCATACAATGGGAGAAGCACATAAAATTCAAAACTGGCTTACTATAATTGCTTTTTGTTTCTGTATTTATAATAATGCAAACAGCTTGGAAAGCTAGCGTACAAGCTAATAATGCTACTAGCCTTGTAGCTAACTTGTTTGTCCAAAGAAATTCAAACTATCTGAGAAACTGGAAAGTTTTTGTCATTAATAGTAGTTCATAAAGACAATTTTCATTCTTAAAATAAAACGAGTCTCAAGGTAGTTGAAGTAACTAAATGTTTATTTCAGAAATAGTTATACGATAAATTATAGTTAGCCTGTGTTCAAACTGGCTTATGTTTTGTGGTTATGTGTAGAAAACTGCTCCTTTGAGTTTTATAATTCAAACATGGTGTTTATTTTATGCATTTTCAATAAATATAGGGGGTAATAGAGTAAGGAATCATGCAGTGCCTTGCAAAAGTATTCATACCACCTGAAATATGAATTATGTCGTATTTAGTCACTTAATCACAGCCTCCAACGTAATTTATCTAGTTTTATGTGAGTTTTTGGCCACTTTACACAGAGACCCCAAAATAAAATCCTGCGCAATCAACTCCCCTGAGAAGACCTCTGTTATTTCTAATTTAATCTCAGAATAAATAAATAAAAACTCTTTCTGTTTCCAGGTGAACAAAGCTAGTAGAAACACCCCAGAAGACCTGCAGCTGTAACTGCAGCCGGGTTCTAACAGGCAATGACTCAGAACTTCAGAGTGTGAATATTTCTGCAAGGCATTGAAGTGACGACTCCTTTTAACCAACAGGGGTATTTTTTTTTCTATCAGATATCTTTTGTTGCACTGTTAAAAAACACAAATAGTAATAAAATGATCAAATATGCACTGATTCTTTAACTTGATAAATGCACAGAACTATTTTTTGTTGTTCAAATAGTGTAGGGGTTCATGCAGCCCCATCTTTGCTTTATAGGGCTGACTTCTGTCAAATTTTTCACTTCATTCATGACCTTGAGTTAAAAAAAACAACAAAAAACTGCAGTTTCCAAAATGTACGACTCGTCTAGTAAATAAAAAGAGCGTCCTGGAGTGATCGGCATAAGTTTAGGTCCTTTAGTGACGACTGAGAAGTTTGAAATTGTGTCGCTTATGGTTTAGGGAGATCAAAAAATACGCCTCGCTTTATTGTACAGCTGAAGAGTTTCGCTCACTGTTCTCTCGGTCCACCTCTATCCGTTGGCCTTTCCCCTGATTTTCCGCCATGAAACACACTTTGCATTCTTTTCCGTCAGGCCAAGCGTACATGGACAGCTTCCCTTGGGTCACATTAACTTGATGGTGAGGACAATTCCACCGTCATGTCAGTTTCTATCAGCCTCCATCCCAACAGGAGAGGGGGTGAGGGGACAGCGAAGGAGCCAGAGGCTAAGACTCTTTAGAAAAAGAAAATAAAGGAGGTAGAGAGTAGAGGAAAATAGAAAAAAAAAACGTACGTTGCTACGTGTCTTCCTTCCTCGGAGGGGGAAAGGAAAGGAAGTCAGTGTACATCTGGGTCTGTCACTCCTGAACTGTTTGAGTCGTAACTTCCGAGTGTGTAGATGTGTGATTTCTGACCCGCGGGTTATTATTGCAGGGGAATTTATTGAGGCACTTCCAGGCCTGAAGGATTTGACATCTTTTATTTGATGTGGCCTGGATTTCAAAGGACGTTGTACGCAGCTGCAGCTGTTGCTAGGTTCACGCAGCAGCTGATGGAATCCCTCGCCTGGACCTCACAGCGGACGAGACCTGCAGGAACCGGCGCAGTGCTCGGCGCATCCATCTAGGAACGCTTCCCGTTAGATTAGACAATGAGATTTGTTGGTTTTCTGGCAGGTTCTCATTTTGTTTTTTGTTTCATGTTGTAAATCGGCGATGCTTTAGCGTGGGTTCTGAGTTTTGAAATTAGGTGAGAGAATCTGAATTGTTCATTATCAACTCCTGGTTACGACATTGATCGAGGACTAGAATGATTGCAGCAGCATAGTCTCACTGAAATATTTAGAAAAAAAATCCAACCGTTGATTCAAAGTCATTCATTTGTTTTGAGAAACAATCATTTTCAGAAATATCACTTGGGGTCACTAAGTCTTCATGACAGCCATGCAATACCAACCAGCCTACCATCACAAACATAAACTCAGAGTTTGCTGAAAAAGTGAACTGGAACTGGGTGCCAGCACGGACACTGTTTTGTTCTGATGAGCCGACCGGTTTCACAAGGACTTTCTAGCTATAGTGTAGCAGGTAATTGAAGATGTCAGCAAAATCCAACTTGGTAAAGATGTTCCCAGGGGTTTGCTTCTTAGCAAACAAAAACAAAATAAATTATTAGCAACAGTAGTAACATGAACCCAAAAGACATCTCAACATTCTGATGTTTGAAAAAGGGAAATATTTTTAGTAATCCTTATTGGCCTAAACCCAGAAATGATTCGCCTGATTGATTGGCGAAAACTCAGTGCATGTTTCAACGTGGATCCATTGTTTTCCAAACTGACATCCAGATCTTGTTTTATTCCACACATCGTCCAATCAGAAACTCACCTTTACTTTAACGGCTCAAAACAGCTCACTGCAGGTTTGACGCATTTTCAAAAACTCCTGTATTCCAGTATTTTTTGTTTGTTGTTGTTGTTCATTTGGCTGCTTTTTACCACTAGATGTAATCACTGGAGTATTAATGAGTGCTGTGACAGAAAATAAATCAGACTCTTGTTTATCTTTCTCTGCACCCCGTTTTTCTGAGCTGCGATGCAGGAGTCCTCACTGTCTGTGTTTGCTGGTTGTTATTAACGCTCTAAAAATGGTCCCTGGTCTTAGCTTCCTTCCCAGATTCAGGGAGAAAATGTTTTTTATCACTGTATTAAAAAAAATCAAAACAACAAAAAACATTTTTGTATCTGCTTTGGTAAACTACTTCACCTGTTTGTTGTGCGTTTATATATAAAATTTTACCGTGTGCGTAGATGATTTCTTTTATGCACACTGTTCTTTGTTGTTTGAGGAAGTGCATCAACTTAGAACAATCCTGCTGTTCTATTATAATCACTGTCTATGTAAAGGTGTTCCTTTCTCTTATAAGGGCTGTAAACAAGTAGCTGTTAACTGCAGTGACATTACTCCATGTCAGGCTCAGAATGACTGTTCAGTGATGAGTGGTGCAACTTTCTCATGTGCAATTTTGTAAAAAATAAAACTATTTATGGAGCGGAGGAAAACGGGACAAACGTGAACCGTATCATTAAAGTTCCTGTTCAAAATATGACAGAGCTGCAGAACATTCATATTTGCATCCGTTTTTGTGATCTTGCAGGCTTTACAAGGTGAAAGCTTGCTTCCAAGACTTTGAAACTAATCTACAGTAGCATAATATATATATATATATATATAAAAAAAAACATGACAAATGATATTTATGCTTATATAAATGCAAAACAGCACATTGGTGTGACAATATGCAGAAAAAGGTGTATAAATATATTGTATTCATCTGTACTTCTTGCAACTAATTTATACCCAAAATGTTCTTTGTAAGACTTTGTTTAGACACGGATGCCACTTTTAAAGATGAAATAGTAAAGACTGTATAACATATGTGAGGCTTTGTCTGTTTTATTTTAATGTCAAATGTTTTGTTGAGAGGTTAAAACCTCTAAAATATCGTGCTTTCTATACCAAAGTACACTCAATTATGCATTTACAATATAATCCATGATGCAAGTCAACACTTTTGGCTATGTGAAGCCATCTTGTGGTTGTTCTTCGTACTACATGGACACAACATTCACATTTTCTCAACAGAAGACAGAGAGAGCTTATAGCAGGGAGACTTTAATAATTCAGAATCAGAGCTTCATTTTCAAACATTTAACAAAACCCAACTTTAGCATCATTTGAGAATAATATGTTTCACTTACACAACTTCACACTTAAAATTGGGATTAATAACATTTAAATGAGGTAAAACATGTAAATTAAAGCTTGTTTTTTTGTTGTTGCCCTTAGAGCCTTCTGTAGGTAATGTATACTTTTTTTTCATCTGTAGTGACCTGCACATAATTTATAGTCATAATCAAAAAATTTAACAAGAGTCCAAAGGAAAAAACTACTTCAGATAAACTTGATGTCTCAACATCATTAATAAGGCCACTTTGTACAAATACCTGATTTTGGTACTTAGTGCATAAAAACAGTCCCTGCCAATGATAAAAATCCAAATGTAGCAAATCAGAGGTATGTAGCTGATTGGTCCAGAAAAAGAACATAAAAAATGTTACTAAATGACATAAGGTTCAAATATGATGTTTGTTTTTTTAAAGTGCTTTTTAAATACATTTTAGAGATACCTTAAAATGGGTAAAAACAGGTTTCCAAGACAATATTATAAAAAACTAGCAGAACAGTTTTGACTACCCAGTGATGGTGGGTCTTACATTTGAGCTTTAGGAATAGAATACAAATTAATACCACAACCTAACCAGAAAAGAGCTTCATAGATTTGTAATTTATACTCATCAGCAGCTAAAAAACAAACTGTCCCCATAAACTCTTAAGGAAAACCATCAGGTAAAAGTAGATTTTTTTTTTATGTTTCTTTGCAATGTGTTTAAGTGGACCCGACAGCTACCTATGTAGCTAACTGTGTAGCTATCGTAGCTACGTGTTTTTACATTCTATTTTAGCTAGTCATCCATGTTGCAGACGGTTGTCAGCTGTCACCAATTTGGAGACAGACAGTAAAAGGCCAACATTTAATCAGAACAGAAGATTTGTACTGCACTTGAAAGATAAATCCCGTTTGTAGATTAGGTTCAGTACATGGCAACAGGATGTTTTGTAAAATCACTGCACCGTTAGTAGTTTTTGATGTTAAATCAATGGGACAATTTCAAAACTATTCTACAGCAGAAAACACATTTTTGGCTGAGCAAATGGAAGTAAGTTTATGAACAAAAGCAAACAGAGTGAAAATGTTTTGGTTTTTTTTTTTTTGTCCACAGGCTTAGTTTGCTGGTTTTTCTTGCCATATATTTACATGCAAAAACAAACCTTGAAGGTGACTTTTTTTTTTTTTTTTTTTTCAAAAGTAGAGTAAAGGGCTCCAATGATGGCAGCTTAGCTGTAAATGTGACTGGTAGCAGAGGTTGCTGGCACAAAGGTTATAAAGTGCATTCTTCTGTATGCATAGCTTTATTTATCGCTGTCCAGTGATGTTGTTTCCTCCTGGATTTATGGCCATTGAGTCCAAGAGCGGGCGGAGGGCCTGGCCAAACGGACTGCAAAATGAACACAGGGAGAGAGACGCTGAAGTCAGAACAAATGCAAACAATCATTCGCTTAGAGGAGTATACAGTGCCTCTTGATATATTTCACTTCACAAAATGCAAACTGTAATATATTTAATGGGAGTCTCTGTGACAAACAATAAGTCCAGGATGGCTCTGGAGGAGGTAAAAACACGCACGGCTCGGGTAGAACGGATTTCAGATCTTAACGTTCTGATTCGCTCTCCAACAGCAAAGAATGTTAAGGAGTAGCGACAGCAATATTTGACCAACAAGTTAGACATGGTTCATGGACGTGAAAACTTACGTGGAGAGTATTTCCGATGGAAGGTCTGTGATGTACGACGGGATCTTTTTGCCGGTGAGGAACTGTGCCACGTCGTTGCTGAAGGTGTTGCAGTTGTGCTCAAACACGTTGTACTTGTCGCCTCTTCGCAGCCAAAGAATGGAGAGGAAAAACAAGTTTCATATTTTGGAGAAAACTGTAACCCGGCCAACGCGAGAGAAAGGCGAGAAGTAAAAATAAATCATTTCATTCAAACATTTAAAAAAACTAATATTTTTCAAAACAGCTTTACTAAAAGTCAACCAGTAAAATTACTTATTTGACCAAAACAACGGTGTCCTATTAGAATATGTGTCTTTTAGTAAACATGTTACAAGGTAGAGTTTTTGTAAAGCTTGATAATTGGCCAAGAAACTGCAATTGGTGCACCCCTAGAGTCATAAAACCCCAGAGCACGACAATGCCCCACCAGGGTTCCTTTGGTGACTGGCGGGGTTGTTTTGTGAAAAACGCAGCGTTTGGAATCTTTGTCTCAAACGCCCAACTTCAGATCAAGATACATTCTCGCGCAAGGTTTCATGAGATTTCAGGAAAGTCTGGAAGTTTTCTTTGAGAAGAAGGAAATCTGAAATTCTTATTAAGTCCAGAGAATCCAGCAGTTTATAATTATTATTGTCATTATTCCTGCAGCTCCTTCAACGTAGCATTTAGCCGCTTTACCACATTCAGTCTCATCTTTCATCATGGTTAGAGAAATTATTTATTTTGTCCCCTGTTTTCTCCTGCCTTCATAATGTTATGGTGTGATAATCCAGCTAATGCTGTGGAGTAATTTTGTACCCTTCTCCCGACTGATACCTTTGAAATCTGTTGCTTTAGCTAAAAGATTCAAATGAGAAGATTTGCGGACGTAAACTTAGAAAGCTGCTTCAACAAGACGGATTGAAGGGCGTTTAATCAGGTTATCACAGGTTCCTTTCTATGTCCTTTTCCTATTTTAACCAGATCGAGGTCCGCTGCATGCACTTCAATGTCTGCCGCTACCTGTAGTCTGACTCAGCCAGCGACTCCAGATACTCCATAAACAAATCTTCATTCACCTCGGTGTGACCCAAATCCACTACTGAGTTCGGCTGGCCCAGCACAGTGCCACACTGAGAGAAAACAGAACACACACGTCAAACGTTTAGTGGACAAACACCAGTAAGTCCTCGAGCCACTACTGGAAAGATGGAGATGATTCTTACAGGCAGGCAGTGGTTGATTCCTGCTCCACCAAAAAAAAACTCTTTTCCGTGGACAACAATACCTGTGTGCCTGGAAAAAAAAAGAAGAAGAGGCAAAGAAGAGGCTTTTATATTGTTACCAAAATAAAAGCTGGATAACGAGCTGTCATTCAAGAAATATACTCACCATATGCCGTCTAACTGTCTCCCTGTGAGGATAAACACACACAGTCTGTTTATAATGTTTTTCGGTCCCACAAACGTACCTAGCAACAGACTCGCGAGCCATTCCCCGGGACAGGTCGTAAACGAACAGTTTCACCGGGAAAGAGGAGTTGTTCTGGGCCATGGAGCAACAAGAAGCAACAACGAGCAACAAGGAGCAACACGAGTCTTTTCCAACTGAAACCAACGGCGAAGTTGTCTGACTTGACTCGCCAAAAGTTGACCTAGCAACAGAAAACGTAAAGTAAAAGCAGGGTTATAGAAATCACGACGAGATAAAGACTTAAACCGGGAAATTCAGTCAAGTTCAGCTTGAGATTGATGGGCGAAAACAGTGCTGTGTCACTGTCTTAATGTCATAACGTGACTGTCAAAAAGTGCCTCCGCATTCTGTACAATAAGCTCCACCCCCTTCATTGTGATTGGTCAATATATTTACTTCTCAGCAGAGAGGCCAATGAGAACCGAGTCTTCTTTGACGTGAATGGAAGGCTGACAGTGCCAAAACATTACCCTGTTTACTGTACATGTACAAATATTTTTAATATAAAGACTTATTTTTTATGTGTAAAAAAAAAAGCTACTTGAGAACTAGAATGTGTCAGTTATCATCATTCTTATATACTAATACTCATTACTACTTTATTCACTAATCTGCAATTTACACAAAAATATTGCCAACGTTTGAAATGAAAAGGAAAAACCCAAGAGGACGATTTAGCATCTCCTCTTTGTTTGCTTCCCAATGTGAATGTAGATTTGAGATATCCATAAAGAAGTCCAGATTAATAAAGATTGTAACAGGGCAGGTTTAGTAAGTAATAGATCATTTAGCTGTGTATGAGTAGAGCAAAATAAAGTACAAATGTTTATAGTTCAGATTTATTGTTATTACTACGGTCTGTTTTGCCTTTCTTGTCCAAAAGACATTCTCAACTAGTGTATGAAATCTATGAAATTATTTTCAGCCTTACACAATTTAAAGTAAAGTCTAGGTTTATGTTTTAACCTGCTAATAAAGGCATTGAGGGGAATGATGAGCAGATCATTTAGCTATGAAAAAACTTAGAATAATGGAAATTGTCTTTAGTAAATCCGAAATTAAATTGATTATCAAGTACCAAATTAAATTTGGATGACAGCAGCTTTGGTAGGAGGGAACTAAAGATCAACATTTGTTTCTCCCTACTTTCTGCTATGGAGACAGCAGAAAGTAGGGAATATAGAAACAATTGAAGGAAGTTGAAAAGAACAAGCAGCGATGATTAAGTTACAGCTACAACATGTAAGGCTGTAGCCAACATGGAGGGTATTTATTCAAGAGGAAAATGTGGCATGGATATGAGACAGTAAAACATAAAATTTAATGTGAACATCGCTTGTGTGGAGAGTGATTTAAAACAAGAATTAAAGAAGCATTAAGGATGAATATGGCATTGGTTGAACATGAAAAGATAAAGAAAGTATTTATTACATTTCTAAAGGAAATGGGAATACATATTCAAGAATATAAGACAGTTCAATCAGGCAAGACAGATACTGTGGTACACACTCCAGCACAGTAGATGGCGATAATATATCATAACTATAGTTGCAAACCGACAAAAAAAAAAAAAAATCAAAGAAGAAAATGTTTTGGCACCATCCCGCTTCCATACCGGCGCGTTCACGTATCCGAGCTCCCATTGAAAGTAGGTTGGACTTGGACTGGTAAGTTGTGGAGCGCGGTAAGTGATGAGGACCACTGAATATCTCTTATTCCTGTGCTTATTTTAGTATATATAGTTTATACGCATCACAAAGGAGACGGAAGCGTCATTAAAGCAGGTGGAAGTTATCAGTCTATCAACACAGAGTGGTTACGTTAGGCTAGCTAGCTAGCGTTATTGTTAGGCTTCAGTTGGTTTTATTTTAGAGGTAATAATGGCACTGAGTAAATCTTAGCTGACTTCTAACTTGCGCGTAGTTTCGACGTGCGCATTTGAGATTTCCGCTGAACACTTTGCTGCACAGCAGTTGACGCTTAAGAACGGATTTGTGAATACAAAGTTTCTGCGTAAAAGACGTTGCTTACGTGCGAAGCACGGACGCAAAACGTCCAAGGTGTCTTGTTGAAATGACTGCGTCCCGGTGCAGAGCAGACAGCCGGCCAGATGGCGGAGTGGAACGCTTTCTACCAGAACGAGGACGACGAGCAAGAACAAGAGGAAGCGGAGCTGAGTGGAGGTAAAACCATGTTGGAGCCAGATGCCTGGCATCACTCTGATCTGTCCAGATCCAGACCTGAGTACAGTGAACTCATCGGCTTGATTAAAAAAAAAAAGAAACAACAGATTGACATACGGCAATATGGTAGAAATGGTCGTCAGAAAATGGGTCACTATTAAGGTCATAAAGTTACTTATAATTCCTAAGGTATCTGGGGACTACACCATTACACCATCACTTGTGTCAAATTCTGATTTGAATGTTGCAGCTGAAGTCAAGACTCAATAGTCCTGACAACATTATTCCAATTGTGTTAAGGTCAAATTTTGGTAAGTTGTTGTGAATTCCATCTCTTCTGCTGCTGGAGTCCATATTTAGTTTCAGAGAGATAATATTCTGTACACCTCGCTTGTGACAAACAGTTATTCTTTTATATACATTCAGACTTATCACATATGTGCTGCGCCATACAAATTTGACATCCCCCAACACATAGCTCTAACTTAAAGTGCAGTCTTTCATACAGGCACGCACTTTCCACACCTCCTTCCGTCCCTCTCTTGAAAATACATTTCTACATTCACAAGATCATGCTGGCGTCACAAAAAAGCCACTCATCAATCTAGCGTTTTGTTTTTTATTAAGTTTCTCTTTTTGAAGTGTTTATTTTATGATGACAGCATCCTGGAGTTCAGACAAGTTGAGGGTAAAACATTGCAAACTAAAGCAAGTGTCTGTCTTTGACAGGAGATTACAAAGTCTCAGGCAGGGACAGCCTGGTCCTCTTGGTAGACGCCTCAAAGGAAATGTTCATCAAAGGCGAAGATGGACAACCCTCTAACTTTGACATGACCATGCAGGTAACAAGTTCAGTTGTTTTTGTCTTTGTTTGTTTTTTCAATCCTGTTGACATTCTCTTACCTCTGTATTCCGTTGAAACAACCAAAACCTCACATCTTTATGTGTTTTCAGTGAAACATTCTTGAAATGGTTTTAAATCTTCACGCTGCCGAGATGAATTCATCCCCATCTCGTGTTGCCGCAGGTCGTGCGGAACGTGTACACCAGTAAGATCATCAGCAGCCACCGGGACCTGGTGGCTCTGGTGTTCTACGGCACAGAGCAGAGCAAGAACCCCAGGAACTCATTCAAACACGTTTACGTGTACCACGACCTCGACGAACCAGGTCAGAGGCCGCGCGGCGGCGAAAGGGGAAAGTTACGGCGTGAGAGTTAACACCTCTGCCCTTCCAGGTGCGAAGCGGGTTCAGGACGCGGATGCTCTGCGGGGCGAGAAAGGCGCGCAGCTCGCAGCGCAGACGCTGGGGAGCGGGGAGACGTCTCTGGGCGACGCCTTGTGGTGCTGCGCCAACCTCTACAGCGACATCAAGCTGCGCCTCTCGCACAAACGCCTCATGATCTTCACCTGCAGGGATGATCCACACGGGGGCGACAGCGCCAGGGACCGGCAGGCCCGCACCAAAGCCAGCGACCTGAAGGAGACGGGTCAGTTTGGAGAAAAGCTGCCTCTGTTGACATGGTTAATAAAAGTGTCTTCTGTCAAGAAAGTACATTAGGTTGCCTTCGTCCTTTAAAGAAAATAATCACATATCCACAAAATTGATGCCTAACTTTAATTTTATGTTCCTCTTCTGACAGAAATTGGTTTACTTGTAGGGATGAATCCCAAATAACTTTGTTGTATAAGATATTCCCTTTGACTTAGCCATGATTCCATTTCTCAGCTTGAATTTTTATGTGCATTTTAACTTATTGTCACGTTGCAGGTCCTCTGACGATCCCTGGTAGAATTCATGGCAGATTTAAATTTATAGTACCTAGGTGCCTACATATGTTAGAAAACCCCACGTAAGCACGTGTAAATCACAACCGTTTTCTAACTTTACAGCAGCATCTGACACACAAACGGTTTGCAGCTTCCTGTTCGATCAGCCTGTGTCTGATCTGTCCTGACCCCTCTGGGTGTCCTCAGGTGTTCTCATCGATTTAATGCACCTGATGAAACCGGGCGGCTTCGACGTGTCGCTCTTCTTCCGGGACATTGTGAGCCCGCCCGAGGACGACAGTGAGCTGGGCCTGCAGCTGGAGCCGTGCGACAAACTGGAGGACCTTCAGAAACGGGTCCGGGCCAGAGAGACCAAAAAGAGAGCCTTGGCCAGGTAACAGGAAAAAACAAAAAAAAACATTTTTTTGTTTCTACACAGAAAAAACATCTGTCTCCGTTTTGCCATTTACTTGTACTAGGTCAAATAGTGGAAGACTGGCTTCTATATTGTATTGGTACAAATAGGACAGAGACAGAAGGACATGTTCTTTAGTTCAACCCAGATATTTACATACGCTGTAAAAAAAATGAGAAGCTTGTTGTATTTACCTGTTGACATTAAATTAGATTTGTTTCATTCTCATTGTATGTGTGCAGTTAATACTTTCTGCTAAATTCCCAAAATAATGACGACTTTTTGTTTCATTAAGCCAAAACCGTACAAATAATTAATAATTATTGGTATGTAAACATCCGGTTTTAATTGCATGGAATCAAATCGTATCAAAAAGCCAGAATTTCCCAATACGACCAAACAAATATTTCCATTCACAGGCCCCCTGCTGGTAGGCTATGTGTTCACACCCTGCCTGTCCCTGTGCTGTGTCATGTTCAGGTTAAGTTTGACTCTTGGTGAGGGTCTAAACGTGGCGGTGGGCGTGTACGCAACCGCGGTGACGGCTCGGAAACCCGCCCCCGTCAGACTGTACCGAGAAACCAACGAACCGGTGCGCAGCAAAACCCGCACCTTCCACACTCAGACCGGCAGTCTACTGCTGCCCAGTGAGATCAAGAAGGCCCAGGTACGTGATGGCTGGGTTTAAATATGAATGAACTTTTTAAAATGAAATTATTAGCGTTGTTTGGCTGTAATGCTTAGGACCATTTCTGGGCCTTATGAGGGCCAATGCCTAGTACCAAAAAATGCGTTGTTCTTTACTTCACATGTGTGCATTAGTAACATTTTCAGGCTATTTGTAATTTAGAATAATAATAAAAGAAACAAAGCTATGGCAGAAAGTAAAATTTTGTTTCAGCTCAATTAAAACCCGACATAAATATTGATCTTATTTCAGGGGTAAAGAGGCAGTTAGTCAACCTGGGGCGTGGCGCTGCTCACTGCTTAG